CTGGAACAGCTTCACTTTAATTCTTTTCTTAGTTGTACTTTACATATGAGGAAACAGACTCACAGAGACATGTGGTTACTGTAGGTCACACAGCCAACAAGAGTCAGAACAATACCACCACCACCAACAACAAAAATCACACTTTTTTCTCTCTGCCTCTGCTATTTCCTAAAAGCTGATAAGCAACAGTAACAAGTAACAACAACACACACAAGAACAAAATATCCATTCAGGACCATGGGAGAATACCACTGAGCCTAGGGCTGCAGGAGGAGAGCATATAGAATTTGAGATTCTTTTTTTGTTTGTTTGTCTTTGTTTTTGTTATTGTGAGACAGGATTTTTCTGTGTAGCTCTTGCTGTCCTGGAATTCTGTAGATCAGGCTGGTCTTGAACTCAGAAATCCTCCTGTCTCTGCCGCTGCCTCTGAGTGATGGGATTAAATGTCTGCGCCTCTTTGCCTGGCTTGATAGTTTTAAGGCATGTCCTTGAGTCTGCCCAGAGACCAAAAATGGCTTCTAACCTCAAGGAAGCCTTTGTCCTGAACAGGCCAGTGGCCACTAGTATTGTGTGCTGGGTTACTTTGACTGTGGCCATGTGGTACTGAGGAAGCCCCTGGCCCCTTCCGGCCTCTTTGTCCCCTTCTTAGAATTCCATCTGCAGGGCCATCACACAGCCCTCCTGCTCTTGACTCTGAAGCAAAGAGGTAAACATCTTGGGGCCCTTTATTAGTTTATTTCAGAAGATGGAGCCTGTTTGTCCCTAGGGCCCAGCCCTCTTTTATGGCCTCCAGGCCCTCTTGACAAATTCTAGTGACTGGAGAGAAAACCCGCTTTCTACAGCAGATCATTAAAACACCCGCCATAAACCCAGGGCCATAAAACATTATTTGCCAGGCATAAAAGGAGGGTAGATTTTCCCAGAATGACAACCCAGGCCCTGCTTTCTCCTGCTGGGAAAGGCGGCACACGGATGCCGTCGTTCATAAATTCCTTATCTTGCACTGTGCTTTGGGAAAAGAACCCTGTTGGGAAAGCAGCCAGAAAATATTGATTTATTTGTTCCGCAGAGTCCAAAGCATTTTTAATGAGAGAAGCCTGGCGATGCCCTGCCAGCATGTCTTCAGATGACTTAATCTGAGGACACACGCCCTGGTGCAGGCATGGTTTACCAAGAGGTGCAGACTTCCACATATAGAGGCTGTCCTTTGAGAGCCTTCCCAGGTGGAGAAGCATGCATCTCTCCCCCATTTCTGTTTATTTCCCAGTCAAACCAACCAGCCAGCACCCACAGTGGGACTGGCTCTTAGGAGAGCAAGTTTTCCAGGGCATCCAACTTCAGCCCTTCACTAAAGGCTCAGAGACGACTTCTGGTTTGTTCAGTTCACATGTCTGGAGGATGGGGCTGAGGTCCTGTGTGCTTGGAGATCAGTATTCCGGTGGTATAGCTCTGTGCAACCATTGAGTCAACAGCTAAGAAGCTCCCATCCCTTTATCTGAGGTCATTGGGACCAGGGAGTCTCTGGAAATCTTGCCAATTTTTTTTTCTTGAGCAATAAAATATAGTCTATAACTCAAATAACATTGGTGATGTCTGGGGAAATAGCCAATAATCAAATGTATTGTATTTCTTCAGTGAAAAGTATGAACATTCTCTGGCAGTGAAGTAAAGAATGGCTAGAAATGGTCTAGTCAAAATTTACATGCCACAAAGGGGGTTTGAAAACCTCAGTTTTTCAGAGCTGATTTTTTTTTTTTCTAGAAGAGTCAATGTCTAGCAACAGGTGAGTCCTGGCCCAGACTCAGTGTACTATCTGTGGTAGTTGTGTGCATTCTTACCACTCTCTGATTGTCAAAGTCGTCCTATTCCTTCCATCCTAAATGTGCTTCTGAGTATACCACCTAATTTCTGGCTAGTTTTCGTGTGTGTGTGTGTGTGTGTGTGTGTGTGTGTGTGTGTGTGTGTGTATGTGTGTTTCAGAAACTATGGAGGTGCTGAGAGGCCTTATAAACAATTAGAAAGTAGCAAAAGAGAAACCGGGTCTCCAGACTTCATCTTCCACTAGAAAATCAAAGGATGAACCATTGAGTTTGAATCTAAACTACAAAGGCAACTGCAGAGAAGCAAGCAATTATCCAGGTAACTCAGATAACAGCTAAGGAAAATAAAGAAAATGCTCAACCAGTGTATTTTTGCTTTGTAAATGGAAGGGATTTTCCTCTGTACTGTTCATTTATGTGGCCTGCCTCTGGAATCCAGAGCACTTGGGTGCCAGGTGGCTTCTGTGCCCTTTGGGAAGCACTGTTCATAGTTCATAGCTATTCCCTGCTTGTTCTCAACAGTCACTGGAGAGTTATATCCTGGAGATGTGCTACCCCAGGGCAGAGCCAGGGTGCCTGCCTAGGGACACCTGGGCTGGGGCATGGGAATTTCTTTGCAGTTGCTACAGAGCTGAACAGCTGGAAGAAAAGCAAAGGGGGGGGGGGAGAGCCTGGAAACAATTCTCCTGATGCAAAAATCCCTCATTTTTATTCCTGTTCCTCCAGTGTGCAAATCTAAACCTACATGGAAAAAATGTAAAATTCCCACAGATCAATAGGGGTAAGAGCCTACAAAGAGTTGGAGGAAAAGAGACCTGGAGATGAAGAGGAGTTTTGAGAATGTCTGGCCTTCCTTGGGGCTGCAAGCATCCTTAGCAAAAGAAGCCAGTAAGGGGGTTGGGAGTGGAACAGATCCATACATTTCTTGAAATTTGCATACTTCACAAAACCATGTTTGCATTCCAGCAAAGGGACCAGGGATGCAGTGATGGGGAGGCATTCAGTCAGTGGTACAAATATGGTTGGCCTGATGGAAGTGTAGTGACATGTCTGGAGCTGAACATCTCTGGCTTTTGCATGCTCTAAGGGACAGGGACAGGGCTGGGGTGAGGAGCGGGAGCAGCAAACTCAAACTGCCAGTGCCAAGTTCTTGGGTCAATGACAAGTTGGTGGATAAAGAAAACTGCTGTGTGTGTGTGTGTGTGTGTGTGTGTGTGTGTGTGTGTGTGTGTTCCACCCTTGACCATTGGAAGATGGGAAAGATGTATGCTTGCTGTAGGCTGGTGATGGAGCACAGCCACCAACTCTGCCCAGGTGAAATTTTAACAATTTCAGTTATCTGGAGTCCTAATCCTGGTTCAGCTAAACTTTGCAGTCTTCTCACCTGAAAGCAGCCGCCTAGATCTGCGGGGGGGGGGGGGGGACGGCATGACCTCTATTCTTGCCAGCAGGGCCTCAGTAAGTGGAGCAAACCTGTCTACCAAACATCTAGGACATTGGGGGCTTTGGGATGCACGAGCCCACCCGCCCACCCTACCCTCCAAGCCCAATCTTTAAGTCCCTCCCCGGGGCTTAAGGAGGTGTCCCCAGAAGAGTCCACGTTTGGGTGGTCATCTCTGAAGAGGCCCAGTGAGTGCAGTTTGTGATAGTTGAACCAAGGGGTCTGGTTCAGGAAGTTGAGGTTCAGCCTCCCAAGCTGGTCAATGCCTTTGGAAGAAGCTAAACCACTCTGGAGGCGGGCAGGCAACTGAGTCGAGTGGACCTCGTTCAACAGTTGCCTGGGGGGGGGTGAGCCTTGAGGAGGGGGCCCAAGGAGGGAGCGTACCCCGCCTCCTGGCACCCCGGGCCCGTAGTACAGCTTTAAAATCCTTCGAAGTTTGTCATAGGACAGCCTTACCACGCATGCGCACAGGCAAAGTTGACTTTTTTCCTCCCCCCCCCACCCCCCTTTGCCTCTCCAGCCGGGTTTGGTTCTGCAACTTTAAAAAAAATTTTTTTTTTCCACCGAGAACACCAAGGGAAAGAGGAGTCTGAAGAAAGGGAGGGTGAAAGTGAGGGAGCTGGCCAGGAAGGCAGGGGGGTGGGGGGGCACGCGGTCCCCGCGCTGGGGCAGTCAGTCTGCGGGGCACCGCATCGCGTGGAAAGTTGCTGCAGGGTCTGAGGCGCCGCCTCCGCCGTCCGCAGTCAGGTTTGTGCGGCCGCTGCTTCGTGAGCTCCTTCCGCCGCCTGCTCCGGGCCCCACTACTGCCCCTTCGGACCCGGGTCGCGACGGAGGAGGTGGGCAGCGTCGACCGCCATGGACCTCTGGAGTTGAGTCGCCGCCAGGGACCCCCGCACCCACCGTCTCCTTGCCCCGTTCGTCCTGGAAAGGCGGCGGTGGTTGGGGGTGTGTGTGGAAAGAAGAAGGTTAACCCGAAGAAAGAAAGAAGGGGACCAGAAGGGGGAAGCCAACGTTCTCCACGGGCTAGCTGTCCATCAACGGTTCAAGGCACTGCACGGTGGAAAGTTCAGGGTCGACTTGCACCCATTTTGCTCCCGTTTTGTTTTGTTTTGTTTTGTTTTTTTCAAGACCCTAAAATGAAAGGACAAAATTTGGTGCTGACTCTTGCAACTCTGATGGAGACTTGTGTGATTTCAGCGGCATCTCCCGGAGAAAAAAACATGCGTGCCTGATTGTTCTGTGGCCCCAAAGCTGCTGCTGCTGCTGCTGCTGCTGTGTGTGTGTGTGTGTTTGCGCGCGTGTCTGCATGTTTGTGTGTGTGCGCGCGCGTGTGTTTGGGTGTGTGTCTCTGTGTACACAGACGTCCACTAACTCACTCAGCTGCAGGAGCAGCCCCTGGAAGCAGACGCTTCGTCCACAGACCCAGAGAGGAGGAGCTGACTATCAGGAGGCGTGAGCCGCCAAGAGTCTGCAGAATTCGTGGTGTGAATGAACTGGGGGCACCTTGGGCACAGGGATCGCCCCCCCTTCCCCGCCTCGGGCCACAGTTGAGTAGTGGGGCATTTTTTTCACTCTCTTGTGAAGAATTTTTTTTTTTTATTATTTGTTGTAAAGTCTTTTGCACAATCACGCCCACATTTGGGGTTGGAAAGCCCTAATTACCGCCGTCGCTGATGGACGTTAGAGAGGGAGCGCCTCGCCGCGGAGCAGTCGCCTGCGCGCCCTCGTCGGACCCGCGGCTCCTGCACGGTGTCCTGGCTCGGCCCTGCGCTTGCTCCTGGCCCGCGCGCGCCGGCGCCCTCTCGGTTCCTGGGCGCATCTCCAGGCTCTACCAGCTCCGCAGCTGGAGCCAGGGCGCCAGTGTTCGTTTCTGCTCCGGGTCGCTGCGCCCACCCGACGCAGCCAGAAGGACTCCGCAGCCCTGCTCTGGATCGTCCCCTTAGGCTTAACCCGGCCGCTTCGCTTGGATTCCTCGGCCGCCTTCACTCGGGTGGCGACTTCCTCCCCGCGCCCCCTCCCCCTCGCCATGAAGGTAAGTGTTCTATGTGCACCGACGCTCGCTACTTTTTTTATTTTTCAAAGTTAACTGACCTCTATCCATTTATTCCTATACCTTTCATTTCTCTGACTGCCTAAAGAAAGCTAAACTCCTATCTCTTCGTCCCTTGCCTTGGGGACACTGTCTCTGCGTCCTTGGAGACTTTTCGCACCGGCAATTCTTCAAAACTTTTCAACTATGGAGAAGAGCGAGGGCAGGAAAAACAGTGGGGTCATGGATGGCGTTCCTTTTTATCCTGAGAACCTGGAGTGTAGTTTACTACGGGTATTTCAGCAACAGGATGATTCGATTCATCAAATATTTATCAACCGCTCACTTCACGGGCACAGTGAGACTGGGTGACTGGAGAACTGAGGGGCAAGGGGGCTCCTGGGTTAGGAGAAAGCCTTTGGGACTAGGGAAACTAAGGGCCACCCACTCCAGAGCAATGCACTCCCCACCCCCAACCTCCCGACCTGGGCCGGGTTCCGGCTGTCCAGGTCGAGTAACCCGAGCGTTCCAGGACCCTGTGCCTTTAAGAGTGCCTGGCGGGGGGCCAGCACGCACCCCGCGCGGGGAGCCGGGTCGCGTTATTAGCATTATTAGCGGCCTCTGGGTGAGCTCAGGCCCTTTACTGCAGCAGTGGGGGCGGGGAGTAGTGGTCCTAGTGGCTTTAATCCTACCCCTGAGCAGAGTCAGCCTAGTGCTTTGGAGAATCTAGGGCCTCTGCCTTGAGAGAGCGGGAGGGGGCTAGTTTGTGAACTCGTGTTTGTTTTAATTGTCAGTTGTATGCTAAAGCCGAGTCACACACTCCGAGGGTCACCGAGAGTTCACTTTTACAAAAAAGTTAACGTTTCATCTTGGAATATAACTAGCAATTCTCCAAACAACTTTTCCTCTGTCTGCCCTCCACGCCTCAATAACAATTTCCATTTATCGTATCTCTGTTTCCAGCTTTCTAGAAAATAAGATGGAAATCAGAACGATGATGCTTCCTAAAAGCAAGTAGTAGCCTTCTTCCCTAAAAGAAAGGGTTTTAAACCCCGGTGTCCCGAGACTCTGTTTTACTCTCCTTGTCCTGTCTGAACCTCTGCTCCTGGGTCGGTCGTACTTTCAAAGGACAATTCGCTCTTGGGAAACTTGGGCCCTGCGGTGAGGTCGCAACTTCTCAGCCTTTGCCCTCCGGCTGATATTAGCACATCCGCTGCTGTCCTAGCCAGATTTGATTTCTAGACAGTTTCCATCAGGGGAGATTTTGGGGTAGAGGAGACAATGTCGTGAGTACCCAGAAACTGGTGAGTGGTGGAAAGTAAGGTTATGGGTGAACGCGTGGGGACCCTTGCTCTGCTTTAGGGGACGCCGGGGTGGGAGTGGGCTGGAGATCAGTTGTTCTAAAGTCTTGGACAAACTGGCTTTAGTCTTCTTCTCTGCGGTTCGACTCAAGATCCGGAGGCCCAGCGCAAGCCCCTGGTCACCCCCCCCCGCCATCTCCCAGAGCACTCTTGTGCATAAGGGGTGCTCTGCACCCGCAAACTTGGAGCCTTAACCCAACCTTTTCTAACCGACCGCGCGGTGCCGGCTGCCCCCTGTTGGCTATCTGGAAGTAGGGCGCCTCCGAGTTCCGTTTCTTCAGTTGCTTCCCTGGTGACCAGATTCACCCACCAGGACACCTTTGAGACCTCTGCCAGGAACAATGTGTTGCTTAGAGCTGAGAATAGGAAAGAACCATAGGTGTAACCCAGCAAAGGGGCCTCGGGCAATTGGACAAAGGATTCCTACCCTTCCTGGTCATTGGGGAGGGAATGTCGCCCATAAGAGGCCTCGGGTGTGGCCTTGGTTGTTTCACTAATTCTTTCTGTGATCTTGGACACTTGTTGCTTTCAATCTCTCAGCCTCCGTTTCTTAATCTCCCTCCCCCCTGTCTCTCTCTCATATCTCCAGTGACTTCGTCTATAAACTCTGTCTATTAAAAAAAATCCCCTGTAAAAGTTGGGGATTGAACTGATGTTTACTTTCTCACTCTGTTCCTCGCAAATACTCAACTCAGGTTTGGATAGAAGAGTTTGTGCTAAGTTAGAAAGGATAATTGTTTGTTGGTTTGGAAAAGAAACCAAGCTAGAGGTTCTCCGACCTCCTAGCCAGTCTGGGTAGCTGCTGCACTATTCAGGTTCCTTGCCCTGGCTGTAGCTCCAGACAACCACCGGCTTATATCACTGGCTATTATTGCCTGCAACACACACACACACACACACACACACACACACACACACACACACACACAAAATGCCATGGTCACAAGCATTCACAGTGTGGGATGACTATAGCTCAGCTGGGCCCAGGCTGGAGAAGTGGGGACCAACACTTCCTTTGTCTACTACCCCTTAAGTAGACCCCCTGCTGGTCATTCTTCAGGGTCTTCTTGGTCCCATTTTTGAAGCCGAGGAACCAAGTTTGTGTATGCAACTGGGTTTCCTTCCCGCAAGTTTCTCCATCCATCTTCTTGCTTCAGAGAAAGAGCAGATTGGGGGAACACAGTTCAGTTTCCACCTCTTCAAGAACGGAGATCTTCTGGGAGTTTCCCATCTTCCTTTTCGCCACCAGGAGCCTGGGTCACTCTCTTCCGCCTAGTTGGCATATCTCATCATTTCCACTCCCAGACTTGGGCCCTAAATGTAGTCTAGCAGAAGGCAATGACCAAACAGTGAGGTAGGGTCACTGCCCCCCCCCCGGGGGTTGACTCTTTGCCTAGTCTGTTTGGTGCTTGTCTTAAGGGTCCGCCAGTCTCTGCACTTGGTAACTGGACTCTTTTGCGCTGGTCCTGTAGCTCTCTAGACCGAGGAAGTCCTCTTTTCCCACCAACTTCCTTCTCTCGTGCGTGGGTACCTTCAGAACAGGACTACAGTCTGCACCTTTGATTTCGTGCATCCTGAAGGCAGCATCATCGAGAGACCCAGCTGCCCTAGCTTTGAGACCAGAGAACGCCTTTCTTTTACCTCACCCACCCTTGCGCCTTGCCTCTTAAAAGCCCGCAACCTCCTCTTCACGCGCGGATGCTCCCGCTTTTCAGTCTGCTTTCCCCGGCCCCTGTTGGAAAACATTTGGCTCGTTCTGTGGATAACTGACCAGAACTTTTGTTTTAGCCCTGCTGAGGCAGTCTAAGGAAAGTTCTCCTTTCACACCGTCTTCTTTGCTTCCGATCTCTGCTAAACCCACCCAGACGGATGTTTTACCCTTTAAAGTGGAGGTGTTCGTTAGTGCGTTCGGTGTGAGTTCCTTGAAACGCTCTAATTTGTGGGGCTGCGATAGATTGGAGAGGGAAGAAAACCGAGGTGTTTCCAGGCAAGTGCAGGGGGTCCGAGGCAGCCGCTGCACTCGGGGCTCCCCTGGCGATCTCCTTGGGACACCCCTACTCCGAAGCGGAGGAGACCTGAGTTGAGGAAACCGGGTGGCTACACTCGCAGTTGGTGGGGGTTCTGGGAACTGGTGGATTTGCCCTGGGGGCGTCGGGCCGGGAGAGGGTTCGGTTTGTGTGGTTTCGGCTCTAACAAAGAGATTCCCTGTAATCCGCCGAATCTGTTATCAATTTCTCCACCACCCGCGCCCCGCCCCGCGCGCCCCGCCCGCTGTGAAGCTCCAAAAGTGAGTGAGGCCCGCCGCGACCTGAGAGCTGAAGCCCTTCGGAACGTGTATGTCTATGCACGCGTGTGTGTAAGTGTGCACAAATGTGTGTGTGTGTGTGTGTGTGTGTGTGTGTGTACGCGCGCGCACTCTCGAGAGTGGTTTCAGCCTCCACTCTAGCCTTTGCAGCCGGGCCGCGCTCAAAGACAGACCCTGAAGCCCACCCCTCCCCTGGAGGAAACTTGACACTTCAGGCGGGGGTAGGGAAAGAGACTGAACCTTCTTTCCTAGACTGGGGAAACTCCAGATTTCCATTCTCCAGGATGCACCCCCGGCTTTGCGATACTTTGGGGACAGCTGGGCCGCGGCTCGGAGCACTGGTTAGCTGGTGCTGGAAAGCACATAAGCATTTCCTCTACCAGGAGCCCGGAGGTGTCCACGCCAAAGGAGTGGCTCGCAAGGGAGAGCTACCGCGTGCTTCAGGGCCCTTTAGTGTTTCTACTGCCAACAGGGTCCCCTTCATCCCTTTTATGGAGCTGGCCTCGGCAGGGCTCTTCCATCGCCTGGAGGAGGTTCACCTTTCTTGCTTTTCCAAAGGAAAGGGCTCCCTCGGGGGCTGCAGGCACCACAGAGTTACACTTATCTGAGATGGGAAGGGGGACGATGGAAACCTGCTCCTCTGACCCACACTCTTCTCCCTCCGCCGCCGCCTGCAGGTGGAAAAGTCACCAGTGGGAACAGCAACAGAGAACGTTCTCCGCTTGGCTCCCTGCACCCTGGAAGCCAGGGACACCGCTGATGCTTCGGAGTTTATGCATCACCGGCTCTGCTGGGAGACCTGTCTCCTGGGCCGGTTTGCCAGCCCTTTGGAACTAAAGGAACTGAGTCCGACTTGAGCCAGAGAGCCTAGGCTGGAAGCAGGGTGGCTATGTACTTCAAGGCACAGGCTCGCAGTGGTGCGATGGAAACATGGGGGTCAACTCCAAGAGAAACATCAAGCCCTGTGTACACCGTCCCTCGCCCCAGCAGCAGCTTTGAAGCGGGGGCTAGAGGGAGAGTAAAACGTCAGAATGATGCGGTCCGAGGGAAGGGAAGGGCAGGGCAGGGGAAAGATTCACTCCTAAAAGAACCCAAGCCAGACCCTTCTTCCCACCCGAGACCTATCGCTCCTCTCCAGGAGATCGCTGGCAGGAGAGGGCAGGCTTTCCGGGTTCCCTGGGTATGGGAGCAGCCCTCTTTTCTCATCCATTATCCCTTGCCCCCAACCCCATCTACTCCCCGCCCCAAACAGGCTGAAGCATATCCTAAAGGAAACCCAGGCTATTCTTCCCCATCTGGAAATGGCTTTCCCAAAATCGGCCCCGTAAACTGATTATGAAACATACGATGTTAATTCGGAGCTGCATTTCCCAGCTGGGCACTCGCGCGCGCGCTGGTCCCTGGGGCCTCGCCCCCACCCCCTGCCCTTCCCTCCCGCGTCCTGCCCCCACCCCCACCCCCGCGCCGGCCACCCCGCCTCCTCGGCAGCCTTCGGCAGTGCGTTCCACTCGCCTTCGCTCTCCTCTCGCCCATGGAATTAATTCTGGCTCCACTTGTTGCTCCGGCCCAGGTCTGGGAGAGGACGAGGGTGGCCGCGGGTTCCCTAGTGAATTCCCGAGGAGGGACCGAGCGCAGCGGGAAACTAGAGGGAAGCTTGGTGTGTGTGTGTGTGTGGGGGGGTGGTCTGGAAGTCACAAGAAACCTGGCAGCTAGGCTTTGACTCAACAGCGTTGAGACATGTTTGTAAGCGCTGGCATGCCCCGCGCTCAGGATCCCAGCGAAATAAGATTTCCTGGTGAGGTTGTGTGGGTGGATTAATTTAGAAAAAGAAACTGCCTATATCTTGCCATTAAAAAAAACGGAGAAGCACAGTCAACAGTAAACTTAAGAGACTTCGAATGTTTCCGTTGTTTAAACTTTGTAAGCTTGAAAACTATCCGAAGGCAATAAACATCTGCTCCTTTCTTCTCTTTCCAGAAGTCCATTGGAATATTAAGCCCAGGAGTGGCTTTGGGGACGGCTGGAGGTGCAATGTCTTCCAAGTTCTTCCTAATGGCTCTGGCCACGTTTTTCTCCTTCGCCCAGGTTGTAATAGAAGCAAATTCTTGGTGGTAAGTTGGTTCTATGTGCCTACTCTTTCCTCTTTGTAAAAATACACTTGTATGCTACAGTGTTGAAAGTTGGAGAATGAGCCTGGGTACTTTTATCTAATTAGATGCATATATGTTCTATGTGCCTTTTAAATATGAATTTTCTTGTAATCTGCTAATTTTGTAAATCATATACTCAGTTCCACCGGGAAAACCGACTCTATAAATCTCAGCTTTTTTTTTTTCCTATGAGGCCCTTGTTGAGCCGTGGGCTTGCAGTACATCATGTAATAAAAGGGAAATACTCTTCTCTAATAATTGTAAGCCTATCTATAAAGTTGACTTTTTGCCACCTCTAGGTAAAATAAAAATGAGTTTTCCTTTTATTTTTCTGTCATTTGAGGTTATTAATCTAACGGGTCTGAAGTAATAGAGTCCTAGGAGACAGCTAAACCCAAAGGAGAGACATGCTTGGCCTTGAAATTTGATCAAAAGGAGATGAACTTGAAGTAGTCATATGTGTCTAAATGAGGCTTCTCTCTGGATTGCAAAGTACCCAGGGAGTTGGATGTTTTCTCCCTGGGAAAGCAATAGCGTGTTTCTGACTGTCAAATATGACTTCTGGACACTGGATTTCCTGTCTTGGATCCTTCACATGCACACAAGGATCCTTTTTAATGTGTTCGAAACATGGGTGACTTTCCTCAGTCTGTACAGACACCCCTCTGTTCTTCCATCATCAGAAGGCACTGCTATCTCTTTACTTCTGATGTTCCTGTACTTTTAAGGCAGATCCGTCTACGTCCACTTTGTGGGCTCCGAGTCATTTTCTCTAACATCAGTGGCTGGTCTGTGAAAACATCCATTTACCCCTTTTCTTAGTGAATCTCAGAAAAATTGGTTCAGATATGTGGTGACCAGAAAGGAAGGCAGTGAAAACACTAACTGAGGGAGACAGATGGCCGGGTGGGGACTATACAATACCTCTGTTTTCTTAGTAGAGTTTAAACAGAGGAGTTTTATGAAACCCTTCTCATACTTTGTCATGCAGACAAACAGGGGAGAAAAGGCATCTGTATGCTTCAAGACCTGTACTGCTGACATGCTTTCAGGGAGGTGGGGGGGGGGTCAGCTAACTCCAGAGTTCACGTAAATCTTGAGTGCATATCTCCCCCTCCCTTTGCAGGTCGCTAGGTATGAATAACCCTGTTCAGATGTCAGAGGTATATATCATAGGTGCACAGCCTCTCTGTAGTCAACTGGCTGGGCTTTCTCAAGGACAGAAGAAGCTCTGCCACTTGTATCAGGACCACATGCAGTACATTGGAGAGGGTGCGAAGACCGGCATCAAAGAGTGTCAGTACCAGTTCCGGCACCGGAGGTGGAACTGCAGCACTGTGGACAACACGTCAGTCTTCGGCAGGGTGATGCAAATAGGTGAGAAAGCACTTGAGATGCCAGTGCCAGGCACGGCTTTGTCCTGTACCTTTCTGTTTGCTTGGATGCTTGGTATGGTGTCTACTTTATAGCTTGGGTGGTGACCTGAGGATTTTGTCGTTCTGGATAACGGCATTCATTCTGATCCCATCTCTGACCTTTAGTGTTTATAAACTTCGTGAACAAATAAATTCAGGAGGGGAACACCACAGATACCACCATTCCCTGCAACACTTCATTTTTGTACAGTTCATTTTATTTAAAGGAGAAGCAGGATACTTGATTTGATTATCAAAAGTTGATGGAAAGCTGAGCCATTTAAACCCAAAGGCTCTTCTGATGGTTACAAGTGTCTCAAGCACTGTCCAAATGGCCCAAGTTGTCATCTTTCAGAACTTTGGCAATGCCGGCAGTAAGGTTTTAATTTTCCTAATATAGACATTTCCTGAGGCTACAGAGATATATAAAGTTAAAAGCTTTATTTTTAGTTCCAGAAAGAATTTTAATAAGAAGTAATACAATTTATGTGTATGATTTTCGAAATCGGCAGAAAAATACACACTAGAGCTTTTGATGACCCAGAAACTTTGCAATAACAGTTTTAAGTGTTTTTCTTATAGCTTGAGTTTTAATGTTAAATATGTTATTGGATATGTTGATCCATTCAGGGAGGAGACAACGTTTAAAGTTGACCAAAAGCACAGGGAGAGAAGAAAAAAAAAAAAAAAAAAAAAAAAAAAAGGAAAAAAATTGAAATTCAGTTCTTTTGTGGTTTTCTGCAATAGTGTAGAATCCTACTTGACAGATGGGCTCTGTGTGTTTTCTAGTGTGAATATTTTAGGTCTCTTTAGTTTTATGCAAACAAGCCCTTATAATTAATATGACTGCAGTGACTGCAAAAGTAAGAAGCAATTTATCAAGGCAATTAACTGTTTATACTGACTGGAGATAAAAAGTTGGCTTAATATCCATCACAGATGGATAAAATACTTTTGAAAGAAAACCCTGAAAAGTGCATTCATTGAGAACAAAAAAGAGTTGTCAGTGGATGCTTGAGCCAAGGGACTTCATAAACTAAAATAACACAGATTTGGAAGCCACTCCTCTAATCTAGTGGGAGAACAGCCTGTAGCCCCAGCCTGCAGGGTTCATGGGGCTTTGTCCTTTTTGTCAATGATTAAAATGTGCTAATGTATATCCTGGGGTCTGACTGGAGTAGCTAAGTCTGGGGGACTAGTTCCTGGATAAGGCTATCTCAAGGTAGATGCATGGGGATATGGTGGAGACTTATTTCTGCCTTCTGATACTACAAGAAAGGAACTTTAAAATCCCTCTCTAAACTATTAAAATGTCAAGTTTCAGGGTTCCCTTTTATATGCATAGCAACTGCCTTTTAAACTATAGGACCACTGCTTTCTCACAGGGATGGAATTTGAAAAAGCTAGAGGAAGGTGGCAGCTTCAAGTGCTCTACTTGCACACAGCTTTGGTTTAGCATCCCCTCCTCAGCATGGGGCCTGCTCTGGACCACAATGTACTGAATAAGCTCTTATTTGATGAGCTAATCTAAGTACTGCTGGAGATTCATTTTAGATGTGGCCTAAGATTAAAAGTGCTTGTCTCCTCAAAGCCTGACACTCCATATGCCTGCATTCAATTGTCCCTTGCCAGTACCCTCTTTGGTCCTTGGCCTTGTGGTACTCCATGTGGGGACTGAGTGATGGGGACTAGAATGTGGGGCTTGTGTGAGTCTCATTCTCTCATAACCTGCTGTGGGGAGAATGACTGGTACTATGGGTAGGTCATCTGATGCCCCAAGAAATATAGGCTGCATCCCCATTGGCCAGAGGTCCCCAAGTACCTGGATGTCCCAGAGAAAGCCATCTGGAAGATTAGGTGGGACTTTGTCTTTTTATTATTTGAAAAAAAAAAAAAAAAAAAAGGAGAGCAGAAAAATTAGAATTGATTTTTTCTGGATGAGAAGGAACAGGGACTAAACTCCAAGAATGGAAAAATGTCTTTAGCTTCTTTTTCCTAATTCAGGCTTTGGTTGAAGTCAATGAACTTAGGGACAGTTGAAGACACCTTTGGTGCCCAAGGTGTGCCCATGTCTCTCTGAGACTCCCAGTACCCTAGGAATGTGGAGAATAGCAGTCATCTATGAGAATGTGACCCTGTGAGGGGCCAGTGTCTGAGGAGCTCCTGCTGCCACCTCTGACCCCTCTCTCAGCTCATTTTTCTAAGGTGCCAGTTGCCCTGGAGGCACTGCTCACAGTTGCCTCCTGAAGGGCCTAGCTTCACTTTGGAAACATTCTCATTTTTCATCATGTTCCCCTTTCCTTCCAGCTTTTGTCTCTTCCTTGTCTTTGTTTCTACACTGTGGAGAGATGTCAGGAAGGCACCATTTTTAAGGGATGCTAGGATTCAAGTCAGAATAGATTTCGTGCAGAGGGGAACTCAACCAAATGAGCAAGCAGAGGGACTAGATAGATGCACTGGCCGCCAACCAAACAGCACTTTTCAAACTGATGTTTTTCCACAGTCAATGATTAGCCAAGAGATTGTACCAGTCTCTGTGTTCTGGATGAAAATGGAAATGATTGAGCTAGACCTATGAAAAAAAGTTTGGGTGATTTGTGTTTTGTATAAAAACCTTTCATGTTCTGTGTACTCAAAGCATGGTGTCGTATCCCCCTTTATCTCCTTTTCCTCTATCCATAACACTTTGATCCCACAGCTGTCCTGTCGGGCCACAGCTTTTTTGGTGTTATCGGTGTTAATCACCAAATAAATCCCTGCCTTCTGTCTACCTGCCCCTCCTCATTTATTTCCACTCCCCCATGCTCTCTTCTGTCTAATTTGAACTAGAGAGATGGAAAGCCCCTCTGGAATTTTCTGGATGTGCCCCCCCCCCCACCAACCACTAGCACATTCCTGATGTTATTCATTTGTTAAGTGCTAGAGGGGAGAGAGTCTGTGTGAGTTGAAGCTAAGGTCCTTTCTAGGGATCACAAAAGGCCCCTGTGGGGCAAAGCTTTTCTGGAGAGAGAGTAGGCACCAGTGTTATCAGGACCATCCATCCCTCCTGGACAGACTTTCTCCTTGGGGCTGGCTGGGTCTCGCTGAGGTCTGCTGTCTTCATGTTACCTTGCCCCATAACGATTGCTAGCAAACTTCCTAAATGTATGAGAAACCCAGTCTGGTACATGAGGTTTGAATATCACCAGGGACCTGTAATTCATGGGCATCCATTTCAATACCCTTATTTTATAGTTGATTTTGAAAGAGAGGCCCCATCTTAAGCTCAAACCCAGGCCCAACCTCATCCAGGAGGCAGAACACTAATCCTTTCTCTCTCATGGTACAGGTGTTTATCAAGTTGCTTCTTGTTACATGTAGAAACTTCTTTATAAGCAAGTCAAACTTTAAACTAGTCTCTGCTAACAGGGCTCCTCTGAGTGTTTTATGGGGAAATAATCTTTACCAGTCTAAGGGAAGAACACCTTTTATCCTCCACCGCACCCCATCTACCCCAAGTCTGTTTGCTTTTCCTTTTTGTTGTCATCTCACGACTCTGAAGTAAAGGCTATGGTAGGGATGTAGGGCGGGATAGTCAGGGGGTGAGGAGTGGCAGTAGATGTGGTACCAAGACCAACCAGGAGGCTGTTTTAGCCATTTGCTCTCGAATGAGAGATTGTTGTAGGGGCAGTAGATTGAAGAGCCCAGACAGCGGTACAGGGGAGGAGTAACAGCTGCAGAGGGTGGATGCCAGGTGAAACCAGCTGTGGCCTCCAGGCAATGTCTAGCTGAGGATGGGGACCTGAGATTTGTGGAAGCCTCTAAGTCCAGCGAATTCTGTTCTATTCAAGGAGGAAATGATATCAACATTAGAACAAGGGTAGGGAAGTCTAGCCCAGTTTGGAGCTTCCCTTCAATGACTTCTTTCATTTTTGGAAATAAGACATTTTGAATATCTTCAAAAGGATTTAGTGAAAATCAATCCAGCAGTGTTGCAGTCCTGACTAGGCTCTGAATTGTCCCAGCAGATGCAGGTACTCCCCCCCCCCTGCCGCTTTTGTTATTTGTTGCTTCTGTGTGTGACCTGATCCATCCTTGCCCCAAGGTGGGCCCAGGGCCTGGGTGTGCATTTCAGGGTGGGACTCCATGTGGAGAGTCGGTTTATCTCTGCTTCAGTAACAAATGAGGCATGTTGGGGTACTCTCCCTTCTTTACTAAATAATTCAGGTTTGCTGTGTGTTGGGGTGCCCTCTTCTCTTCCCAGGGAGCTGGTGTCTGTGTGTGTGTGTGTGTGTGTGTGTGTGTGTGTGTGTGTGTGTATGTGTGTGTGTGTGTGTGTGTTTCTGGCTTCAGTGGGCCTGAGAACTCTGTTTGCTCTGGGTTTTGACAAGTGGTTTCTCGCTCCACAATTGGGTTCAAGGCCTTGTATATTGGGGACTCCCACTTCAGCAAGGATTGGTGTGTGTTGCACTCTCTCAGCCTTTTCCAGCTGCACAGGCCAGGGTGTTGGAGGGCTTCTTATCACCCCCCCCCCCACACACACACACACATAGAGCAAGATCTAAGCCTCTGCATGGGGCAGGCAATCTAGTGACCCCTCCTCTCCTGCAGGCAGCAGAGAGACAGCCTTCACTTATGCGGTGAGTGCAGCTGGGGTGGTGAATGCCATGAGCCGTGCATGCCGCGAGGGTGAGCTGTCCACCTGTGGCTGCAGCCGTGCTGCACGCCCTAAGGACCTGCCTAGGGACTGGCTGTGGGGCGGCTGTGGTGACAACATCGACTATGGCTATCGCTTCGCCAAGGAATTTGTGGACGCACGAGAACGGGAACGAATCCATGCCAAGGGCTCCTATGAGAGCGCGCGAATCCTCATGAACCTGCACAACAATGAAGCAGGCCGCAGGGTGAGTATCGTGGGCCACCCGCCCTCCCTGTGCACATGCTCAGGGACTGGACCCCCCTGGTCATCCTTAACTCAGATCAGCTGTCTGGAGATACTCATACCTGGGGTCTCTGTGCATGCTTGGTTTCTTCTGTCTTCCTCTGCCTCCCTGTCCTCCCTCTTAGCCTCTTTGTTTTTTCCTTAAGTCATTTCCTCCCTCCTGGGCCTGTTTGGAGAGAGGTGCACATTCCAGAAAGGCCAACCCCTCCAGAGGCCTGAATGGTCCCATTAACGGGCCCTGGGTCCAGGAGCTCTAGCTGTTTTCTGAGAAGTATGTTGTATACTTTTGTAGCTGGTCCCTACCAAAGGGTTTTAGAACTCACCCATGTGTGTCTGGGGTTCAGTTAGGGAAGGCATTAGGCACCTCACTGAGCAAGGCCTCACCCCACCTTTGGACCCTCTTTTTTTTCCTCCCTTGACTGCCTTGTGGATATAGCAGACCTGATGGGCTGAGTTTTTCCAAAGGGGTTTTGGTTAGGGAGAAGACAGAAGTTTTAGCAGTGTGACATTGCTTCAGGCTGGCCAGTAGGCCAGTCCAGGGTGACTCTTGACAGAAAAGACACTGACAGTCTGTCCCCAACCCCCCCCCCCCCCCCAGTCCACTGTTTCTGCTCTTTCCTTCCCCTGGTGGGGATATGAAAAGCTGCTCCAAGATATTTTTTAAAAAGACCCTTTTCCCCGCGGTTAAACACATGGCACTTTATGGCTGCTTTAAAATGAAGGGGTGAAAATGTTTCTTAACTTTGGCAGCATTGAAAACCAGGGCCATTATTATTTTTTTTTTTTTTTCCAGAGAATTCAAGGTAGGTGCCAGGAACTTTCTGGTCACAGATTTCACTCTTCTGTATTTTGGGGTGAGGAAAGAGGAAGATAATCACAGTGTAGACCCAAGGACTGGAAGGGGCTTCAGAACTCTCCTCATCTCACAGATTGGGAAACTGAGGCCAAGAGGATCACTTACAGTCATAGGATCTATGTTGTAGACCTCCGATAACTTGCTTTAGGCACATTCTTCAGAGCTTAGGGCTGAAGAGCTATGCCATGGCTATTGGAGATGCCAGCCTAAAATCAGGTCCATCTCTCTTGGTTCCTGAGCCTCAGTGTCCATGTTTGCACATTTTTCTGTAGCCATGGCAATGACTCCCACTTGGAGTTGTCATGACAAAGTGAGGTCAGGTATTAGGTAGGGTACACTATACGAAATTTGACTTGCAACTATGTTTCCTTTGGTTCAATCTTAGATTCTAGCTCAGTGTCAGTCAGTACTTGATAAATGATAAGTCAGTTATTAAACATTACAGAATAATAGGACATAGAGAAGTCAAAGATCATGTGGATAATTCCCGCTAACTTCCTCTCCAAGTGGTTGGTAAACAGTTGAGGGTGACAGGGAACCACTGAGTACAATGTGGTTTTGCTTGTATTTCCCTGAGGGGCACAGATAATGGCCACAGAGAAAGTACACATGGGCTTGCTGAGGCCCTTCCACCTCAGGGACTGTCACTCTCTCTAGGTTGTGGCTGTCACAGGCCCACTTGTCATTGCAGGGGAGGGTCCAGCTGCATTCTCTGGAAACCCCCTAAGAGCCCATTCCCAGGGTCCCACGCTCCTGGTGTCAATTGCTCTCTGAAGGATCGGACTGGCACAATCAACCAGAAATGTCCCAGGCCATCTTTGGTACATCACTTATCACTTTCTTTCCTAGAAAGAGATCCTGAAGGACTTGTCCACTGACAGGAGAGGGTCAAGCATTTCCAAGTGTCAAGAGGGACCTCTGGAGAAGTTGAGAAGTGTCTTTGCTATTTTTGTTGCCCTTGATATTGATATTCTGATATTACCACAGTTTGAAATGTGACATTTATTTGGTTGTGTTATATCATGGGAATGATGAGATAAAGGAAGGGTTTTGGTCAGCAAGGTGATACAGGAACCGGCTATTCTCTAAGTTGGGGGTTGGGTACCTTTGGAAGCTGTACACCATGCCAGGAAATCATATTAAAATTGCTTTGGGCCATTAGCTTTTGGTTTTCCATAAAAGGGAGTAAAGGTTAAATATATTTACAAAACCTTCTTCAGACTGAAAATCTTTATGGCATGAGAATAGACTGTGACCCTTATTAAAAGAAAGTCCTTGTGAATCCTTGGAGGAAGACAGTGGTTGTTTGGGCAGAAGTAGCTCCAGGTTCTGGACAGGCCCTGGCCAGCACTGCCACACCATGATGACTCTGGAAGTTTGCTGGCATGAGGAACTGTGGGCAGTCAGGACTATAAATAGGCAACCACCACCTCCCAGACTGCTGGGCACAGTGCTGTAGGGCCAGATCTATGAACATTGCTCCTGGGAGGCCCGGGGTGACTGGGCAGAAACCCAGGGCCATGGCCCCATCACCCTGGAGAAAGACCAGATATACTGAGTGGGTTTGGAGTGCCAAGTGCTTCCTTGCCTTCCTCAATTTTATCCTCCTAACTGTGCTGGGAAGTTGGTACCATCCAAAGGTGATAAATAGGCCAAGAAAGGGACAGTTAATTTCCCAAATTCAGGGGCAAAATAAGACATCCTATGTCCATGGCTGCAAGGTGGGACAGGGTGGAGCAGGGACTCTGAAGTGAATAGCATTGAGTATAACTGAGACCCAAACCAAGTTCCCCTATACCCCGGCTGTGTGACCTAACCCTTGCAATGTCAACATGCTGTTATCTATTCCCACACAAGCTACAAAGCTGCTAGTGTGATTGGATGAGTTCACAAGTGCCAGGGTTGTTCTGACAGTGGAGACACAGTAATATGGTAGGAAGTGTGAAGACTGGAACACTGATCCCTCTAGGGATGGATCCTTCCTAACCCAGCACTTACCAAGTCATTGAATGTGGGCCTGCTGTCTGGCTTCAAATACTAGTACTCTCCACTTCCCAGCGGTTGGGCAGGAACTCATCTCTCTATGTCTCTGTTCCCTTCTCTGTGAGTATAAGGATAACAGCACATATTTCAGAGGCTTGGATGTGGGGTCTGCATTTAGGGAAGACAGGCAAGAAATAGAGTTCATATGGTTCTGATGGCATTTCCCTGCGATAGTGGTGGCCACTGGAATATTATTGTTTCTGTTCTAATTTAGATGTGATAGTAGTTGTAGATAGAATGATGAAAATCAAAGAGTTGTCGAGTTTTCAAAGGATATACCAATATTTCTAGTGGTGGGGAATGAAGAGGTAATACAACCCTTGATTCAGCCAAAAGATATGGCTGCTCCTAGAAAGTGGAAGACAGCTTTGTTCATGCCCATATCTCAGCTCCTCCAAGAATTTGCACAGTAACCTTCCCCCTTTCCTCCTGCAGACAGTATACAACTTGGCAGATGTAGCCTGCAAGTGCCATGGAGTGTCTGGCTCATGCAGCCTCAAGACATGCTGGCTGCAGCTAGCGGACTTCCGAAAGGTGGGTGATGCCCTCAAGGAGAAGTATGACAGCGCAGCAGCCATGAGGCTGAACTCCCGGGGCAAGCTGGTACAGGTCAACAGCCGCTTCAACTCTCCGACCACGCAGGATCTTGTCTATATCGACCCAAGCCCGGATTACTGTGTGCGCAATGAGAGCACAGGCTCGCTGGGCACACAGGGCCGCCTGTGCAATAAGACTTCAGAGGGCATGGACGGCTGCGAGCTCATGTGCTGTGGCCGTGGGTATGACCAGTTTAAGACGGTGCAGACTGAACGCTGTCATTGCAAGTTTCACTGGTGCTGCTATGTGAAGTGTAAGAAGTGCACAGAGATTGTGGACCAGTTCGTGTGCAAATAGTGGTGTGCCTGCCCATCACCCAGCCCCGTTCCCAGGACCCACTTATTTATAGAAAGTACAGTGATTCTGGTTCTTTGTATTTTCCCCCAAGAATTGCAGCAGCGGGAACCATATTTTTTTTTCTGTTACCATTTAAGAACTCTGTGGTTTATTATTAATTTTATAATTAATATTTGGCAATAGTGGGGGAAATTGAGAAAAAAATATTTATTTTAAGAATCTTTGCAGAGTTAGTATAAAACTTCTTTCTTCTGATGCTACAGGATAAGGGGAAATAACACATATTCCAAGTTAGCTGCATGGCTGGGGTTCACATCTAGAAGTCTAGGAACTATTTTCTTTTCAAATATAGAGTCCTTTGGGATGGTGGTACCCAGGTGAAAGAGGTTAGTACAGACCATGAATGATTCGGTTCCTATGGCCAAAATGAAATATAGATGCTCTGGTATAAGACAAAAGATCTTAAATCTAGGTATATTAAATATACAGATATGCCCAAAATACAGAATGTGAGACATTCCCCACTCCAGTCTGCTTTTTGTATTTCAGAATGACCTTTTAGAATGTAAGAGCAAGAATATCATATCTTCCTAAGTAGGCATATCATGTATGTTATGAGTCCACCTACAGATACTGCATTTATGGATGTGCTTTTTTTCTAACAGTTCGTGAAACTCAGAGAGCTGATAGGCTACAGGGGTGGAGTGGGTAGAGTTGTGGTGGAAGGATGTCCCCAGAAATTAGAAAACTTGAAATTTCCTACATTGAGGCCATAATCTTATGGAGTTAGCCCCAGCTGATTCTGTGAATATTAGACTTCATGTCTGGGAAGGGATTTTGACCCAGAAAGGATATCATTTTGAAAGCCATCATATTGTCTTAAAAATGAAAATTACCCATGAATCCTACTTGCAGATTCTCTCCCCAGACAACAAGGAAATCCCATGTAGTTGAGCACTGCAGAAGGGCAGAATACTTCCTGGAGGAGAAAGTGGCAGCCACCTTCCTACTTGACCCCAAGCCCTCTCTGGACTCTCTGTGCCTTCCCTATGTGATGCTGGCCATGTATCTAAATGGCAACTCTAGTGGACACTCATGGCTTGCAGGGCAGGACATATTCATGAGGAGCTATGCTCAAAAACAGCTACTTGGGAATTGCTTTTTTTTTTCTCTCTAAAGGTTTTCTTTTGAGGTACAGTAACTTCATGTGTTTTGCTGATATTACTTGGCCCAAGGAGTCCACAGAGGTGTTGCAACTGTTATAATCCTGTGTTCAGACTGCCCTTTTGTGCTTTTCCTATTATCCTGCAGGTGTACGCCAAAACTGTTCCTAGTGTACTTGAACAGTTGCATTTATAAGGGGGGAGGGAGTGTGGTGTAATGGTGCCTGATATCTCAGTCTTTTGTACATAACATATATATAAATATACATATATAAATATAGATATAACTATATCTCAGTGCAGTCCGTGATTTAGATTTACAGTTTGCTCTGGGCTTACTCTCTGCCTGGTGCATTGTCCTTCACTGAAGTCCCTTGGGGATTTCTTTTTTCTAAAACTTTGAGTATTGACATTGGCATGCGACTCTGTGGGATCCTACCATGTACACCAGGAAGCAGGCTAGACTCCAAGGAAGTATTCAGGGCTGGTGTCCTGAAATGTATGTTGGTTAGAAGGTGGCCTCTCTGCTTCCTGCCCACCCCAGGTTCTCCACCCTCTCTTTGGTATTCTTTGTGGGGAGGTTACTGTGGTCGGTCACAGCCACGGACCCTCAGAACCCAGGAGCACCAGCATTGTCTCGAATAGCTCATTTCTCAGTGAGGACTTGTGCCTGTCCTGTGTGACAGGGCTGACCTGAGTCCCTGAAGCTGATCAGCTCACCACATAGATAGTTAGTTTAAACAATGTTTTAAAATAAGGGCATCTCTATTTAAAAGTGGCATCTGCTGTGTTGTTGTTGGGCCTGAGGCTGTTCTTCAAGGTTTGATCTGTCCTCCTTTACAGGCTTGGTGGCCTTTTGGTTGCCTCAGCCCTCTGGCTCTTAACTTATTGCCCCCAAATATTCATTTGCCCTCAGCTACAGTGAATCGCAACCAAAAGATCTTGAAATGAAAAAGCACTAATTTAGTTTAAAATGTCACTTTTTTGGTTTTTATTCTACAAAAACCACAAAGTACGCTTTTTTTATTTGCTAAATCAGATTGTGTTCTTTTGTTTTTAGTGATTCATGTTTATGAGCAGAGTGGAGTTTAACAATCCTAGCTTTAAAAAAAAAAACTATTTAATGTAAGATATTCTACGCGTCATTCAGATATTTTGTATATCCTCTATGGCCTTTATTCTGTACTTTGAATGTACATATTTCTGTTTTGTGTGATTTGTATATTTCACTGGTTTAAAAAAAACATCAAAAGGCTTATGCCAATGGAAGATAGAATATAAAATAAAATGTTACTTGTATATTGCTAAGAGGTTTGAGCTGTTCTTCAGCTAATTCATATGGAGAAATATTTTTAGGAGAATCCACGGGGTAGCTTAGGACTGCTCCGTGCTCAAATAATAGAAGAGCAGACAATTTGACTAAAACGGAACTATTTGGAGGCTTCAAAAGAGCTCTATATGCAACAGAACAAAAATGGAATTCTCTTTTCCTATATATGTTCCTTCAAAAAGAGAGAGAGAGGAATTGAGCAGATGGTGTAAAGCTGGTCACAGGGTCTCTCACTCACATTCTTTCAGCATTATGCACGCGACTTAATTGTTTTAGAGTGTGTTGCTGTTGGAACATCCCAGAGATGAACCAAAAAAGCTCATGCTTCCATCCACGACCAGATTTGTAGCACACACACACATGCACACTCATGTCACATACACGCACACATGCACACACACACACACACTCATGTCACATACACGCACACGCACACACACACATGCACACACACACACACGTGTGTGTGTGCATATCATTGCCTTTACCATTGCAACTGTTGTGCCTCTCTATTGGAGTTTACCATGGGCCACATGGGCATCTCTGTGCCCATTTGAGTGGGTGCAGTTTTTATGAAAGGAAAGCTGCAGAGAACAGGAACTAAAGGTTCCTTGTATGATGTGCAATTAATAAGAGGCCTCCTGCTTTCTGGAAATGAATCTCAGAATCTAGTCAGGCCTGTGCAGACTGATACATTAGCTAGCCCTTTGCCCCCCTTTCCCCTTTTTCCTTTCTTTCCGGATAACCTTGTAACATATTGAAACCTTTAAAGGAAACCAAGAATGCATTATTCCACAAAAAAACAGTAGACCAACATATAGAGTGTTTAAAATAGCATTTCTGGGCAAATTCAAAGGCTTGTGGTTCTAAGAGTCACATCTGTTTCAGTTTTTCTTTAGTTGTATATTGACCAGTGTTCTTTATTGCTAAAACATATACTCAATGTAGCAACGTCAGCATCTTTTTTTCTTCCCATCCTGGAGAGCATTCAAGACCCTTCCAGTACTGGGACATCAATGAAACATTTATATACAGGCAGTGGCAAACAGAACCCTGTTCAAAATGGTCACTATCAGGCTCCAGGTCAAGGCTGTATTGTCCCAGTCCTGTTTCTTTGTTCTCTTGACCTCCCTGACTGCCACCTCCTATGACAGCAGCTGCCTGCCCACATTCTTTTTTCAGCAGATTTTCCCCAACAGCAATTTCCAGTGTGTTTTTCTGTAACATTATTCAGATAGGGCCTGAGAGCAGGGTGACACTAGCTGTGGACAAGACCTGCACTGGCAGACTAAAGTGATCAGTAGCAGGACCCACGTATAAAAGCTGAAGTATAAGAGGCTGGGATGGCAAAGTTGCTTGTAACTTCAAGTACATATTTAATGCAAACAAGCATGGACAAAGCACTGTGCTATTACTGTAGAGCACACTTTAAAGATATTTATTTTCTGGAAAAGTATTTTCTAGTCTCCCCTCTCTTTGTGGAGTTGTAAACAAGATACCATGTTGTGAAAGCTGACATGATGATGTTTTTAATTGCAGAAAAATTTAGAGATATAAGGATTAAAACTTATAAAAAGGATCTTCTAATTTGCCTGTTAACATGGAGTTTACACTTAAGTCTGATGATTGAAGGATGCTTTATGTTGAAGAAACACCTTGTTACCCAGCTTTATAAAGCAGATGCAATGAAGCTTGGTGTGTCAATCTAGAAAGTTTAATAAAAGCTCTTACAGTGTTTCCAAGGAAAGGAGGGATTTGCATCTTAGACCAATTTTTATATGGTTTTCAATTTGACAAACTAGAAAGGAGATAAAGATTATTTATTTTTTGTTCATATCCTGTACTTTTCTATTAAAATCATTTTATGAAATCCAGCATGCTCCTGTGTGTGTGTGTGTGTGTGTGTGTGTGTGTGTGTGTGTGTGTGTTTAGCTGAAAGGGGCTGAGTTTGTCTGAGTCTGTGGGCTTGGATAATGGTTTAGAACTTCCAGAAAAAATCACTAATATTTCCACCATCCCATGAGAAACCATTTCACTTGAATTTCAAGGATTTATTCTGTGGATTAATGCTGATCTTTTGTTGACCTCCTGTTAATTGTTCTCTTTCTTATTTGCTTTCTGTGGTTGAGATGTAAGAACCAGTCAAGATGATTCTCCCCACTTTAGACATTTAACATGTACAAAAGAGTGTACCATAAAATCCCAGATAAGTAAAATTCTGTTTAAGGTGATGAGTAGATATGGAATCAGCTAGAACATTTTGCTGGTTGCTTATTTCATGATGACACAAAGACTGTTATGAGTTTCTTAGTTAGGGGTTCTTCCACCCCAAATACCACTGGAATTTCAGGCTGGGTAGCTCTGTGGAGTAGATCTTTCCTGTTCAGTGTTACCAGTACTCTTGTCTGCCACTGACTCCATGTCCAAGGCCACCACCTCCCAGCGGTTGTTATGTCAATCCCCTGAGGAAGAACCTCACTCCCAGTAGGAAAATGTAGCAGTATCTGTAGAGACATTGGAGATATAGCAAGCTGGCTTTCTCCTTGACAGATCTGAGGCTACAGGGGTGTAGGGGGGTACTGAGGGGGCTTGGGGGTTGGAGTTGGAGGGGGCCTCAAATTCTAAAGCTGACATTTGCTTTTCTAGTTGCAGAATGTCTTGGTGATTCTGAACACCTTGCATTTACAGTGAGAGAGTGCAAGTTTATTTAGACCTTGGAGTTGTGCAAGGAAACCAACATAAACAGGATTCAATTGCATACTAATGGCACAACAAATGTTGCCTGGGACAGGGGTAGGTAAGGTGGGGGATTGTCAAAGCCTGAGGGTTCTAAGCTCTAAGGCAAAGTCATACTTGCTCACTGTGGGGAGCAGCCCGCCTTTCTACAGGCAAAACTGTAGTCCTGATTTCAGTGCCTCCAGATTTGTTTTGTTTAACCTTCACAGAAATTTTAAAGTATGCAGTTTGGTTGTGGATTGTTAAAGGGAAGTAGCTTCACATTAAAGTTTAGGTTTCTGGCTTGAAAGCCAGGAAGAATGGGGACTGGGCACTTGTGTAGCAGCTGTCACTCCTATGGTCACCCAGCTCCTCCATTTTGTTTCCCTCCCTCCCTCCTCCCTGCCTCTCTCTCTTCCTTAAACAGAGTACTCCCCCTTCCTAAAGGCTCTTCACCTCATCATGGTGACATTTTGGTTCAGGCAATGTGTAGAACATTTGGCACCACTCCAGACATTTGTCTATTAGATGACAATAGTGCACTCTCATGTATGACAATCAAATTTTTGTCTCCAGACATTGCTAGATGTCCACTGTGTGTGTGTGTGTGTGTGTGTGTGTGTGTGTGTGTGTGTGTGTGTGTAGGCACCCAAGGGTGGAGGCAACTGCAATAGTTAATAAAAGCGTGCATTTTGATGCTTGCCGATGAGGTTGAAAGTGAAAATGGACAGAAAGCACCAGACTCTGTGGGAACACCCCTCTGTCATGGGAACTCAGCAGATGCCTATGGAGTGTCAAGAGGCCCTCCCTTCCCAGGCTTGGCTCTGCCACTCACCTGCAATGTCATCTAGAACCATGAAGGTTTCAGCCTCCATGGAGCAAGGAACAAAGGCAGCCACCCGATTAGAGTTACTATTTAAATAATGTGCTCTAACCCCCAAGGCTGCCCACAACCCATTTATAAAGTTGGAATTAGATGAAAAACAAGACCCTAAACCATCAGTGAGTGGCTTTGTTCAAGCCAGCAGGCATGCCCCTGCCCCATCTGGCTAAATTGATAGTGGCTGAGTAGAGGAAGCTAAAGCACATTCCATCACTCAGATCCCAGAGATGCCTGGCAGGAAGCACTTCTCACCAGGAAAGCCCTTGTTCTTTGGAGGACTCACAGTGTCATTAATACAGGATAGGACAGTGCAGCAGCCTGAGTAAAGGCAGGACAGAGTGATAAAATCTAGGCTTGAGAGAAGGAGCGAAAACAAAACAAAAATCCCAAATAAACTTGGGGAAGCAGCCAGGCAGCAGCCAGCAACACATGAAGACCGCTGCAAAGATGTACAGAAAGAATGAAAGGTAAAGAGCCCCAAGGCAAAACAAAGCTGAAGAGAAGCAGATTAAAATAAGAGCTAAGTTAAGGCCAAGCATTCAAAAGACTCCAAGTCATGATTTGGGAGCTGGTTGGTGGCCCTAAAGCAAAATGTCTGGTACAGTAAGTCATTGAGATCCTAAATTAGTAATTCCATCCAACATGTTAGTTCTCCTGATACTTTCCAAGGCTCTCACTCTCTCCTTAGACTCCATGGGAGTCCCCTAGCCAGAAGAAAATGCAGACCAGGTAAATCCCCTGGTACATACTGGTGTCCCATCTTCAGGACTTTTCCTGAAGAGAGAGATAAAAAGGATGTCTGTCTACCCTCATAGGAGAGGCATGAACAAACCTGAGGAAGTTTCTGTGGTGTCTAGCCTGGGGCACTGATGTCTAGAGCTGAGGTAGGCTTTTGCAGCAGCTGTCATAGGACCTACAGAGGCCAGAGCTGTCTACAGATGTGGCCTCAGTCAAGACTTGGCAGGCCATGAATGGAATGTGCTTTTTTCAGAGTATGAGCTTCCATCTCCAATGAAGCAAGCTGGATTCCTTGAGACCTCTTGAGGCCTGGGCCCTATTGCTCTCATTGCATTAGCAAACTTGAAGAGAGCTGAGATTAAAAAAAAAAAAAAAAGACTCATTTATTCCCACACACCCACCATAATCATGTTACAGAGGGAAGGACAAAGAGCTTGAAGCTAAAAACAAATGACAAAACAAACACCAAACAAAAACTCCCAAAACAACCCTGGCGCCAAGCTTTCCTCATTAGCCGTGCATCCTTTTGGCCATTTACTTAACCTCTCTGAACTTAAATAGTTTCACCTGCAGTGTACTATGGGTGATGGTGAGCACTGTGGATCCTGCTAGTCTGACACCCAGCAAGTGTTCTTGCTATGG